TTATCAGATTGTATTGTAATTGTCTGTGTATATGCCTGTCTCTCTTCCTATGTTATCAGTTAGACTGTGAGCTCCTTGAGGGCAGAAATGGTGTCTTCATCTTCTGAGCCCAGCCTGGCACATTAGTAGGCCTCAGTAAATGTTTATTGGATGAATAAATGAATGACTCATCAACAAACATTTATTGTGTGCCTGCTAAAGTGATCTCCACAGGCTCTGGACTGTCAACTGTTTCTTCAAAATGCTTGTCAGAAACTTGCTATTTCTTTCTAGTTATGTGTGTATCTTCCCAAGAATTTCTCAAGAGACAATGCTATTTTTGTTTTTGGATTTCAGTCTTTGGTATTTACAGATGCTGCTACTGTTGACACTTGCTTCCTTTGATGGGATTTGGGTGGTAGCTGCTAGGTAAAGAGCCTCATCCTCACAGCCCACTATTTGCTAAATGGTTCCTATTTTTAGGCTCATCCCATTTTCACTCCTCCCCAGGTCAACCTCCAAATAGCATTCCTACATAGGACTCTGCATTCTGGATAGGGGTGGGCAAATTCTATGACTCATGGCTGCCTGTTTTTACAAATAAAGATCTGTTGGAACACAGCCATTTGTTTGTTGATGAGTCATTCATTTATGATCATTTGTTGATGTTTCGTCTGGGCCCACTTTGGCACTACGATGACAGTGTTGAGTAGCTCTACAAGAAACGTGGCCCACAAAGCCTTTACAGAAAAAGATTGCTGACCCTGTTCTGGATCATCACTCAGCAGTGATCGTTTCATTCCTCACTCCATTCACCTGAGATCCTTTTAGCATCTCAGAAACTCGTATTTATTTACTTCATTTGTTACTGCTTGTGACTAGTCTTTCCAACTGAGCTTTTTTTGGGCAGCTGGCAGGTATGGGGATTTGAACCCTTGACTTTGGTGTTACATCACTGCTCTTTTTCCTATTTTACAGATGGTTTACACTAGGAGATAATAAGGCTTCTCCAATGGTCCTGCAGTCAGGCAGTATACCATGTTCTTCAGCATCAAGTTTTGAGTCTCAACTCTAGAAATTCCTTTTATTATATTCTGACTTGAAGCACATGGACATAGCGTGCTCTGGTTCCTTCTCCCTTGACCCCTCCTTCCTACACAGCTCTTTGCGGTGAGAATATGGGAAATAAGAAGTCCGTTGTAGGATGAGGCAGAAAGGTAGGCTAAGGCAAATGTTTAGGAGGTCTTAATGCTAATTTTTTTTGGGGGGGGGGCACCTGGCTAGTATGTGGATAATGCTAATTTTTATTTTTATTTATTTTATTTTATTTTATTTTTTTCCTTTTTGTCTTTTTTCGTGACCGGCAACGGATCGCAACCCTCAGTGTCGCGCCCGTACCGGACCGGGACCAGCAACGGGATCGCAACCCTCGGTGTTGCTCCCGCACCTTGCTCAGCCAGTGAGCGGCTGGTCTGTATGTGGGATCCGAACCCTCGGCGGGAGCACCGCCGCGCTTCCCAAGCGGCGCACTGTAGCAGTGCGCCACCGGGCCGGCCCCAGATAATGCTAATTTTTAAATGAAGAAGTAGGTTTCTGAAATACTTCTTCGGACCTACACAGGTAGCAAACCTGGGCTTCTAAGAGCTTAGAGCTATCCCCTCTAGCCTCCCAAACCTTACATGCACTATCTTGGTAACCTGCCTACAGGTACATTGTGATTCATATCACTTCGTTGAAAAGCCAGATGTTGGGGCTGGCTAGTTAGCTCAGTTGGTTAGAGCTTGGTGTTATAACACAAAGGTCAAGGGTTCTGATCCCCATTTTAAAAAAGTCAGATGCAAGAAAGCTAAATCTGAAAAAACAAAGTGTCAGCAATAGAGGGTTGGATAAAAAATCTAAATAAAAAATGAAAATGGAGGGCCGGCCCGGTGGCGCACTGCTACAGTGCGCTGCTTGGGAGCGCGGCGGCGCTCCCGCCAAGGGTTCGGATCCCACATACAGACCGGTTCCCGCTCACTGGCTGAGCGAGGTGCGGGTGCGACACTGAGGGTTGCGATCCCGTTGCCGGTCCCGGTCCGGTACGGGCGCGACACTGAGGGTTGCGATCCATTGCCGGACATGAAAAAAAAGACAAAAAAAAAAAAAAAAAAATGAAAATGGAGGGAACATCTTTATACTGGATAGTTCATTCTAGCAGTAAAATGGAGGGAAAGGCCTTACAGCCTTATTTTTCAAACTGCTTCCTGGGTTTTTCCCAACATTTTATTATGACAGTTTTCAAACGTACATACAGAAAAGTTGAAAGAATTGTACAATGAAAAGCCACATACCAACCACCTAGATTGTATAATTAACTTTTTACTATATTTGCTTTATCACATGAACTCATCTTTGTTGGATAGGTTTTAAAAATACTTCTGTCATCATTCATTTTAATGTAGTCTGTGTCTGACCCATCATGGTGCCAAAAAATAGTTACTTTTGATTCTTACCTGTATCTCTGAAGTTGGCATGAATACCACCGCAGCCTGACTATATATAAGCAGGTCTGCCCAGGAATGAGAGTTCCAGTGAGAGAAGAAGCCAGTTTGTTTATAAAAGAAAGTGGTTGCAGCTCACTGTTGTTGACTGGAAATAGTAGGGGGAAGGAAAGTTGGAAGTCGAGGACCAGTGTCATATACTGCCTTGCCCTTCATTCACTTCTCCAGCTTTGGGGCAGGTGGTTTTCTGAGCAGCTTCCACTTGGTTCTTTCCTTTAAGACGTGATGAAAGAAAAACAGAATTCACATTGAATGCCAGTGAGGTGATACTCATCGTTAGCATAACTCTTTGGAATTCTAGCAAATGGATTTTTGATTTGGACTACTGTCTAATAGTATTATTTTTAACCTTTTAGCAACAGCTGCAGTTCCAATTAGGAATCACCATGACCTAAAATCTTATTTATCTTTGTAATGGACATGATAATGGCAAATGTTACCTGTTTGTGTCTGTCTCCCTTGATTTAAGCTTAAGGGTAGAGAACATGTCTTACTCATATTTGTAATTCTTTTAGTAATGAAGGTTTGTATTCACTTCTAGGGATATATACCCCCAAATATGTGTTTAAGGATATTCTAAAAGATTTAAGGTATGGGCATGTTCATAGTGTTCATAGTAGTAAACAGTGGGAGAACTTACTTGTTCATGAATAGGAATTTGGTTAAATACATTTTGGTGTGTTTATGTAGTAATATTAAAACTAGAAATAGTCTTATAGGTGAATATTTGACTTGGAAAGATGTATGTGTATACAAGAGATCTTCAAAAATTCATGGAAAGATTCGTATTATCTTTTAATTCCATTTTTCCACAAACTTTTTGACGTACCCTTGTATTGGAAAAAGGCTACAGAGCAGTAGAATAGTTTCATCTAGTTTTTGTAAAATAAGAATTTATGTTTGTACGTGTACATGAAAGTTGTTGGAAGAACATACTCCAAGTGTTAAACTTTCTGGGATTCTAGGTGATTTTTACTTTCTATCCTTAATATAGTTCTGGAATATTTTTAGCAGTGTGCATTTGTGACTTTCAAAGTTAGAGAAACGTTAAAACTATTTCCATTTTGAAATTTGTTGACCTTGTCTGGCCGGTTAGCTCAGTTGGTAGGAGCATGGTGCTGATAACACCAAAGTCCATGGTTCAATCCTTGTACTGGCCGACTGCCAGGGGGAAAAAAAAAAGAAATTTTTGGCATGAACAGAATAGAGTAAATGGGGGTGGTCAGGAGCTGGAAACTGGAGCAGTTTAGTTTGGAAAAACGCTGGAGGGGATGGGGGAAGGGAAGGGGGGAAATAAGATCACTGTCTTCAGAGAAAGGCACTATCAGCTACCCCTCTATCCTTGGCTCTGTAATGCAGGCATTTCATCGATCAGGGTTTACACTTACCATTTATTTCCCAATTAGGCCCTGTATACATTTCTTTCCCACCCTTGTCCTTTTGGGCTTTAATAAGCTATAATAATTGCTAGTGACAGCAGCCAATTGTGGGTGTGCAGATCTTGCTCTAGTAAGTGGCGGCTTTAGCTCCAGTGAAGAGATGGCTCAAGGAAACCCATCAAGGATCCTGTTTCCACTTCTCTTCCTCTAGCTAGGCAGTACCTATCTTCCCCACACAGTATCTAATGGTGACAGTTAGGAGCCTAGGTGTTGGGCCATTGCTGAATTGCCAGATTTCTGGGTTGCTTTTCATGCTAAGAAGCTAGAGACTGGGAAGCTTATAGGAAATAGGCTGCTTCCTTAGAAAGGACCCTTGGGCGTCTATGGCTTATTCTGTGTGGTCTCATGTCTCAGAGCCCTGTTTCCCCAGTGATTGATTGAGTCTTAGCGGTAGAGGACGAGTCACTGGCTTACCTAGCTCCTTAGTGATCATTTTGATAACCCAGGCAGCTAGGTAAAGGAGCAGGTAATGTTTGATTCCCTTTCACTTATGATAAGTGAGTCCTGGTGGGAGTTGAGATTGTAAATGACAGTCCAGACCCAGAGTTTTGTTACCTTTCTCCGTCAATGTGAACCAGATGCCAAGTGATGACTAGATGAAGGTTTCAATCACCTTTTGAGGACTGTTTTGGTCAAGAGTAAGGAATGTAGGTTTCTAAACTGCCAAACATAGAAGAGCCACTAAGGGGTTACACTTACCCCCTATTCAAAGATGAGAACATTGAGGTTCAAAGAGGGAGAGGACTTGAAGGGAACTAGGAACATGAGTGTCAGAGTTCACATCTGAGTTCTAACACTTTGGTATAGTCACTTGGTGCTTCTGTACCCAAGTTATCTCATTTAAAATGGGGGCAAGAATTCTTATTAAACAATAATTCTTTACTAGATAAAGAACTAATGAGGGTGCTTAGCAAGAGCGAAAACTGAGGTCCATATGTGGCTGGCTGGATGACTTGACTAAGATGGTAAAAATAAGATTAAAGCTAGACTACAAACCTTGACTGTTCCATCTTACATTTTTTTCCTTCTCCCTATTCTACAGGTGACTCCAAAGGCAGTCACAAACCATGCCACTGGTGAAGAGGTATATTGAGCCCTGACTGTTCCAGTGAGTTATTACAGAATTGGGAGAGTCTCAAATCAGCATCCTACACGTGATTATCAAACCATTGTGAAGTCTTGGTAAGTGGTTAGTGGCTTTGGTGGGCTTGCCCAGTTAGTGGGTAGGGGTAGGGAAGGTGATCTTAATAGGTACTAGGCAATTATTTGATATTTTCCCATTATGATATTAAAAAAAGGTCTTATTAAAATATTCAGGCTGTACTAGAGAATGAAGAACCTAGAGCCTAACCTCTCCTTTTCCCATCCTCTCATTTTTATAGATGGGGGAATTGGAAATTGCCTAAGGTTATATAGCTAGTTGGTGTAGAAAATGGATTTGGAAAATAAAAAACAAACGAAAAAACCTAAAAAACTAAAAAAAAAACCCAATAGAAAATGGATTTGAATTTAAGCCAGTACTGGATCTTCTACACATTGCTTCATCTGATTTCCATCCAAACCCAAGGAGGTCATGTGAGACAGAAATGTTTTTATTTTACATTGAAAGTTTTTTATAATAGCTTCTGAGATCGTACTTCCCTGGTGATGGAAATTTCCATGGTGTAAGATTTTATTTGTATAAAGTCACTTGAGGTGCTTATTAAACATGCAGATTCCTGGGCAGCCAAACCTTGTCACTGGTCAAGAGCAACATTAAGATCTGCCTTTTACTTATACTGAGGCCAGAAGGATGAATAGCTGTTGCCATGAATGTCCTTGTGTGAGACAGTTTTGAAGCCTTGGTAAGTTGTCAGTGGTTTTGGTGGGGTTCCCTAGTTGGTGGTAGAGAAGAGAAGGAAAAGTGGTCATGATGTGGCACTTCCAGTCTTTGTTCAGCAAATAATTATTAAGTACTTACTAAGTGCTAGAGACTGTTCTAGACATTAACAAAGTCCTGCCATCATGGAACTTTCATTCTTGTGAAGTTGGACAAAGGAATAAATAACCAAGTGATTTATGAGGGGTCTTCAAAAAGTTCTTGGAAAGATTTTGTATTATCTTTTAATTCCATTTTTCCATGAACTTTTAAAAATACCCTAATATAATGTATCGTAAGTGTTGTATCAGATTTTTTCCCATAATGATGTGAAAAATTGCATTAAAAATGGTTGGGTTAAACTAAGCAACATCTTGTGTTTTTCTCCCCACTTCCCATTCTCCCTTTTAATACCTACCTCTGTCTCTCAATGCAGTGGAGGCTGACCAAGCTGAGTGTAGGAAAGGTCATAGATTATGCAAACAATCTTTTTCCTTTTTGTAACCCCTCACTAGGCTGGATTAATGAAGGATATCTTTGGAAAGTGTTTTAGAGTCCACCAGATCTTCCATGTGAGTGACCACACAGCAGAAGAGGGGAATCCTCTCAGTGATTAAGGTAACACAGTGATTAAGGTAAGTAGGGCAGGAGAGGCTGATTTTGTCCTGACTTCTGTCAGGGAGGCTCTTAGAAATGCCATTTCCAGAGCATAAATGACAGGCCAGTACTTTCAAAGCCTGCAGCTTATTCTACAATACAGTCATCTCTTGGTAACTGTGAGAGATTGGTTCCAGGACCTTTGCAGATACCAGAATCTGCAGATGCTAAAGTCCCTTATATAAAAGGTCATAGTATTTGTATATAACCTATGTACATCCTCCTGTGTACTTTAAATTATCTCTAGATTACTTATACTACCTAATATAATGTAAATACTATGTAAATAGTTGTTATATTGTATTTTTTAAAATTTGTATTATTTTTTATTGTTATATTGTTATTTTTTTGTTTTTCTTATTTTTTTCCAAATACTCTCTGTCTGTGGTTGGCTGAATCCAGAACCCATGGACACAGAGGGCTGATTATATATGTTCCTTCTCAAAACAGTGTGGGTAGATTATATGCTTACCCAGTCTGTGATCACTGTTGCTGAGGGTCAAAAGAACTGAAATGGTTCCCAAGTAAACCAGGGAGCATAACCTCCTGCTTTTTTAAAATAAAGTTTTATTGGAACACAGTCATATTCATTCCTTATTGTCTGTGGCTGCTTTCAAGCTATAGCAGAGTTGAATAGTTGTGACAGAGACCATATAGTCCACAGAGCCTGAAGTATTAGCGTCTGGCCCTCAGAGAAAGTTTGCCAACTCTTAGTATAGGTTAAATGTCCACAAGTCCTTCTCCCCCCATTTTCTTTTCTATGGCACTCATGCTTACAACTGATCCTAGAATGTATGGAATCTCACAGTAATCAGTTTGCTTCTGAATTTCTTCCTGCTGAAATTAAGGTCACCAGGAAAGCACATTCACAAATTGGGCTATGTATACAGAAGGAACTATGTTTTATATGCCTTATTGTAGTTAACTCATTTATCCTATATGGTTCCCCCATTTTTTTCTCTTTTTTTTCAGGGATAACTTTTAAAATTCAGCCATCCATGAGTATCCAAAAAGTTACAACTCATGTTTCCTAATTACGATTTTACCCTAATTTTAATAGACCTCCCCCCTCTGACTTTTCTAAATATTTCTTCAGATGTCTTAACCTTTCTGGGGAAAAAGCCCCCTTAGGAGGTTACTTTTCCATAGTTCTCTAATGGAGAAATACATGACATTTAGCTTTTTTTGTTAATTTGGTGCCATTTATTGCTCACTTACTATGTGCCTAATCCAAAGAGTTCCATGTTAATCAGTTATTGCCTCTATCTAAAGTCTTGGAAAAACTAAAGTAACTTTATCTAGGTTACATTGTTAATCAGTGGCAGAACTGGGACTTAAGAGCACAATTTATGTTAGCATTTTCTATTTAAGTGGTCCTGAAGTTTTTCTGTTTTTTTTTTTTTGTTTTTTTAAATCTTGTATTTGGCCTTTAGTGAGCATAGCAAGGTGTAATATCTGAACTGGGAAAAAAAATTCCTTGAATTCCTTAGGAAAGATTTAGTTCATGGAATTGGGAGTCAGAGGCCAGTTCTGATTATGTATCCCTACATACCTGCCTTCACCCTTTCCTGGCATATCTTGCTTGCTATGTATTGTTGCTTTTCCTCCCACGGATTTGTCACCCCTTTTCCCCTGGGTAACGAAGCCACCAAAGATTACTCAAAGCCCATCTGTTTTGAGCAGCGAGAAGCCCCAGAAAGGGGTTAATATCCCAAAACTTCCTCAAGCACAGTCATTTCTTCCATTTGGGAAATTAAATGCAGGAATTATTCTCCAGACCAAGAAGTTACAGGAAGAGACATAGGTGGGGTTTTGCTAAGTACAGTTTAACAAGTTTTACAATAGAAGCTGGTAACATTCAGTAAAAACAAGTCAGATGACATTCTGTTAGGCAATTAAGTGATCCACTAACAAAGGCTTGATTTAGCTGACATTCCTTTTCCCTCTAGCAGCTTTTTAGTAACTTTACATATCAATTAGTAACTTGTTTGTTTTAGAACCAGCAGCCTTGCTGTGTTAGGATTCTTATCTTGCAACAGAGACTCCATGCCCTGGGGGAAATTTCCTGTCCTTTGCAAGGCCAATATTTGAAACTGCAAGGCTTTGGAAAACCAGGCCCTGTGAGGTATATTTGCTTTATGAATCCTCTACAATGTATAGCAGTGATCAGCTCTTCTGTATTCCCTCTCAACAACTTAGGGGTATATTGGTGATGCTCTTCTAGCTAAAACGCTTCTCAGCAGTTTCTCCTTTCTACTTCTTTTTACCTAAGGCCAGCCACATACCCACTCTCCAGGGACCTCCTTACTGTCTTAATCTGTTTAAGGCAGGTGACAGCTTTATACTGTAAGTAGGTCCTTATGCCCAAAGAGTCTAGGTTAGGAGCCACCTTTTTCTTTTTCTTTTTTTCTTTTAATGGCTAATGATTTTGAGATGAATGGGCTTGGGAGGGCTTGGGAACCTTTAAGAATTTTGTTAACTTTTTAGAAGTTTAATACCAAATGGAGCCAAATAAATAGTTCTAGGTAGAAGAATTCCCAGTATAGGTATATCAGTTTTAGGATGAACCATAGTGCCCCTAATAGGACACCTGGATGTGACCATTATTTCTATACCAGGGTCTTAAAATATGGCAGACACAATGCCCTCTCACAGAGAAGTAAGTCATGAAAAGGCCTTATAAAAGCAGGGATGGCTCATTGTTTTAGGACAGCCAAATGTATGGTACTTGGAGGATTTCAAAGACTGCAAGGCCTTCTCAATTGCACTCTTCTTTTAACTGGTGAAGGTAGTACTTCATCATTGGCTTTTTCATAGCCTTACCTCTTATGGAGCTATATGGAACACTGAAATGGTTCACAAGTAAACTGAAAAATGGTTGTGTGTTGTGTGTAAGCCCCACCCTGAACTTCCAGAGCTGCTGTCCTGAGTACAAAGGTCAGTTTTATTCCTGGGACAGTGATGGAGCCTTAATTTCTCTTCCAATCCATGGCAGAGCATTCCTAAACTAGGCTCTAGAAGTCTTGGCAACTTGGAGGAGACATTCATCAAGGATGAAACAGAGTAAGTGGCCCCGTAATAGTCCCTAGGTAGAAAATATTCCATTTTATGGAAGAACCTGTCTCCTTTCTTAATCCTGTTGTATAAGCAAGATTTTCTGTCCAAATCATGTTATTTCTCTTCTTTCCTTTGTCCTTCCATGATCACTTTGTCTGTCTTCCTCTTTGTCATAAGTATGTCGTTTCTAATTTCCTTTCTCTTTTCCTTCTTAGGCCAGTCTTCGAGCCCTCCCTATATCCCCAATTTAAAGTTTTTTTGTCATACCAGTATTGGCATCTATCCAGGGCATGGGGTACACACAACAGATTTCTCTCTTTATTTTTTTTTAAGCATTTATTATGTTTATTCATGTAAAGACTTTATTGTATAAAAATTGGACTACCAAAAAGTATTATTAAGAAGGAAATAAAAATTACTCATGATCCTACAACCTAGCCATGTGCTGTTTAGTCTTATTTTATCCATTTTTCTTTTTTTTTCTGTACACAAACATACTTTTAGGTTTAAGAAAATTTTTATTATCTAAATCTTTTTTTTTTTTTCCCTTTTTTGTCTTTTTTCATGTCCGGCAACGGATCGCAACCCTCAGTGTTGCGCCCGTACTGGACCGGGACCGGCAATGGGATCGCAACCCTCGGTGCTGCGCCCACACCTCGCTCAGCCAGTGAGCGGGAACCGGTCTGTATGTGGGATCCGAACCCTCGGCGGGAGCGCCACCGCGCTCCCAAGCGGCGCACTGTAGCAGTGCGCCACCGGGCCGGCCCCTAAATCTTAATTTAAATATTAATTTTAGTGTACTTCTCTGATTATCTTCTTCAGAGGAATTTCTGGTTTCAGAATCAAGGTTATTAGAATTCAGTATATACATTAGCATCATTAAAACTAGCTAGGTCCAAGAAGCTGATATTGAACAGATATCCCAACTTTTTCTTCCTCTGAATCACTCTACCCTGGCACTTACAGCTAAGTAAATGAATATATATAGCAATGGTGTGTCCTTTGGTCTTTTATGTTTTGTGCTCTGAAATGTCTTTGTTTCCTTGTCTGCCTTCAGTATCTCCTTCTCCCCTTGCTGCTTTTTTTTTGGCAGCTGACCAATACAGGGATCAAACCCTGGTCCTTGGTGTTATCAGCGCCACACTCTAACCAACTGAGCTAACCGGCCAGCCTCTCTTTCTCCTTTATACAAGGGCAACTGTTGTATTTGTTCTTTTCTTCAAAATAATTATCTCTTTTCCTTATTCAAAGTAGCTGCCTGGTTGATATAATGAATAAAGGTATCATGGACTCAAAAAGTAGAGATGGGGGTGGGCCTGGTGAAGGCATGGAGTCATGGAGTCACTGTTGCTTTTGAATGTCCTTTTTTAAAAAATAAACTTACGATTTATTATACTTTATTAATAATATAATAATTAAATGATTTATTTAACAATGTATTTTTTTTTTTTTCTGACCGGTAAGGGGGTCGTAACCCTCGGCACGGTATGGTCTTCACGACGCTCAGCCAGTGAGCACACCCGCCATTCCTATATAGGATCTAAACCCTCAGCCTCGGAGCTACCAGCGCCGCACTCTCCCGAGTGAGCCATGGGGCTGGCCCTAACAATGTATTTTAACTTAAAACATAAGTATGTACTCATTCACCTATTGTTGTTGGATGTGGGAACATGGCCTTTTCTATGCATATATGACCATTGATTGATGTTTCTCTCATTTTTTAAAATTTATTTTTTTTGATATAACAAGGATATGCACATTTATTTGTTCAAATAACAAATACATAAACTGAATAACAGATGAATAAAAAATACTCTGTAGAAAGTAGGGCTTCTAATTTTCAAAAAAACTGGAGATGTAAAACTTATTAGAATTTACATATCTCATTTTGTAATCTCTACAAT